GAATTTCATGACTGCTTTTTCTATTTCTATGAGGATGTCATTGAGATTTTGATTGGAATTATATTAAATCTGTATAGTGCTTTCGGTAGTGTGCTCATTTTGACAATATTTATTCTGTCTATCCAGGAATAAGGGAGATCTTTCCATCTTCTAAGGTTTTCTCTTAATTTCTTTCTTTAGCATTCTATAGTTTTCATCAATGCATTTTTGAGACAAACATGGCAAATCTTCCTCCTTGTATCCCTCCATCCTGTATCAAAAATTGAGCCTCTGTATTTAATGCTCTTTTTGACCTTAGTCTGCTTTGTCTGATTAACATACTATGCTGCCTTTCCTTTTTTATTTTTGTTTTGTTTTGTTTTGGTTTTGGTGGGGGAGCTGATACCAGGGATTGAACTCAGGGGCACTTGGCCACTGAACCACATCCCAGCCCTATTTTGTGTTTTATTTAGAGACAGGGTCTCACTGAATTGCTTAGCACCTCACTTTTGCTTAGGCTGGCTTTGAACTCAAGATCCTCCTGCTTCAGCCTCCCAAGCCACTGGGATTACAGGCATGCACCACTGCACCTGTCCCGCCTTTAGTTTAATTGGTATTTGCTCAGTATCTTTTAGGCCTTTCTCATCCTTATGTTTTAGATATGTTCTGGACTCTTTCTCCATAGGTCAGTTAATTGGAATTTATTATGATTATGGCTATTTTTGGATTGACTTCAAACTTTTTACTTCTCTTTTTGTTTTCTTTATTTTCGGGGGTTGCAGGGTGGGGACCAGGGACTAAACCCAGAGGCACTTTACCACTGAGGCATATCCCCAGCCCTTTTTAATTTTTATTTTGAGACAGGGTTTTGCTAAGTTGCTGAGGCTGGCTTTGAACTTGGGATCCTCCTGCCTCAGCCTCCCAGTCCACTGGGATTACAAGTGTGGGCCAGCGCATCCAGCTGTTTTGTTTTATTTTCATTAATATTTTTTCCTCCATTAGGTTGGAATGTACTTTGTTATTTATTACTTTATTATTTACCTCCAACTTTTCCTTTTTTTATTTAGCCATGTAATGTCTTTTATGATTTTAAGTTGTATGCCAAATGAACATAACGTATCATGAAAGTAATAACTGGAGCTGGGGATACAGGTTGGTGGTAGGGCACTTGCCTAGCATGCATGAAGCCCTGGGTTCAATTTCTAGTACCATGTTTGTTTGTTTGTTAATTGATTATAGCTAAATAGTCTCAGAAAAATTTTGCAAATAAGTTTTAATAAATATTTGCTAATTGGTATTCTTCATATGTAAACATCATTTAATTTTTTTATCAGTTTGCAAAGTGATATGTTACCAATTTATTTTTTTCAATGACCTTTCAATTGTTGTTCAGTGTTTCTTATAAAGTGTCCTCTAGGAAAGTTGTTTCAGTGCATCTGAGTTTATCGTTTCTTTACAAGTTTTAGCTGAGTAGGATATTTACACGACTGTGTGCATAGTTGTAATATCTGTTGTCACTTTGTATCTTCTAGTTTGAAATTTTGCACCTAAAGCTTTTTCTCCTGCTTTTATAATTTTTGTAATTTTCCTTCACGGTAGGTGATCTAATTTTTTAATTTAAACTACATAACAACTGTATAACTTGGAGGTTTTAAAAAAGATTCTTTGATAGGACAGTTAAACCAAACAAATGTTAAGTAGCAAATTAGACCAATTTATATAGCAAAACTTTCAAATGAACCTTTATGATTTGGTATAGTTCTAATTATTGATTATTATCACTTCATTAATAACAGCCTTAATTTTGTCCACATTTATTCTTATTACATGAGATGCCATTCATAAATTCTTAACCTGTCCCACATAATTTCTTCTTCCCTTTACAGCTTCTAAAAGCTTTTGCTTATCAGCAAGGTTATTTCCTCTGCTGCCTACTCTAGTTTCTTAGTGAAAGAGGTTTTCCTTTATTAATTTCTTCCTAATCACCTTTGTTGTTGTTTTGTGCTAGGAATTGAAACCAGGAACTTGTCATGAGCATGCTAAGCACTTAGTCTATTCTAGAGGTACCTCTACAACCCCTTCTAACCACTTGCTAACTAATTCATAGTGTTCTTTCTAATCTCTTTCACTTTAGGAAAAAAGGGATAGATCTCCAACCATTTTAATTTTGTCTCTTTTGAGAACATTTGACCTCACAATCCTTCCCACTTTTTCCCTCCCAATCAGAAAGGGATAATTAGAAAACTAAAACAAGTCAGCTTCCTGTCTGGTTGTTAGATCTAACTAGATCTAACTTGAACCTTCTGCATAGTCTCCCTTCTTAGAGGAAAAAGGTTAGATTGTGTTTTTTTTTTTTTTTTTAATTTTTTGTTGCTTCATCTTCTTCCCCATCTCTACCCCTCCGCCCATGATGCTGGGGATCAATTCCCATGCCAGACAGATGTTTACCACTGAGCTACGCCCCAACCCCAGAGAAAGTTTTAAACACTTTTCTAATTAGCCTGAATAGCGTAGAGTGTGATGTTTTGTTTTATGTAAAAGTGTGAGTACAGCCAGGTGTGGTGGCCATGCCTGCAATTCCAGCACTTCAGGAAACTGAAGCAGGAAGAGGGCAAGTTCAAGGCCAGTCTCAGTAACTCAGTGGGACCCTAACTCAAAATAAAAGGGCTGGGGATATGGCTCACTATTCAAGCACGCCTGGGTTCAACCCTCAGTACCCCCCAAAAAAGGAAGTACAGAATATAGAATCACTTAGCAACTTACCAATCATTCACTCCTCTCTTCAACCCTTTCCTGTGCATGTGTACATTTGCTTCCTATGAATTATTGTTGAGCCTGTGTCTTGAATTCAGTATCTTTCATGTCGTTTTTTATGGATCTTTTTTACCATTTTTATTGGCAACAAATATTTTATGGTATGACTGTGTCATAATTTAAACTGTCCTTTCTACCTGAACATTTTAGATGATTTTCTTCAGTCTTTGTCACTTACAGTTCTATGATGAAAAAAGATATCTGTATATGTGCATATTTGCTTTAATACAGATTACACTTTCAAAGTAAAATACTCAGTCAAAGCTTATACATGTTTTAAGCCTTAAATATATTTAATTTTTTTCTTAAAAAATGATTGTACTGAAACTCTAATACATGCTAATGGGAGTTTAAATTTGTACAACCACTTTGGAAAACAGGGAATATCTATTAAAAGTTGAAAAGTATGCTCATCCTGTGTCTAGTAGTTTACTCTTTGAGGTATGTATCCAATATAAAAATGTAAATATGTTCACCAAAAGACAAACAAATGTTGATAATAATGAATAGTAATCAAAACTTACCGCCCAATATGCAGTGTGGCATGGTTTCCCACACTTTTTTCCCACCGCCCCATATCCACCAGTGGTAGAATGGATTAATATATATTTACACAAAGTAATACTCTACAGCAAAGAAGATGAACTACAGCTAAATGTAACAACACGGATGAAGCTAAGAAGCTGGACATGTGCTGGGCCTGGTGGCACACGCCTGTAGTCCCAGCAACATGGGAGGCTAAGAGGAGGATTGTGAGTTCAAGACCAGCCTCAGCAACTTAGTGAGACCCTGTCTCAAAATAAAAAAAATAAACAAATGCTGGGGATGTAGCTCAGTGGTTAAGCACCCCTGGGTTCAATCCCCGATACACACACACACACACACACACACACAAACACACGCACACACACAAATGGACACAAGAGAATATGTATTGTATGATTCCATTTAATTAAACATCACCAACAAGCAAAATCAACACATGGTTAAAAAAAATTTAAGTCGGTAAATTGTTTTTCTTTAAGGGAAAAGACAATTTTTTTCCTCAAAGGAGCAGGTATGAAGGCATGTGGACTTCTGTCATGCTCTGTCTGCCAGTGCTGGTTCTGGCAGATGGGCCTGTCCCATGGGGGAGACTGTGGGCCTGTGGTTTTAGGCCTTCCTGTGTGTATGTTGTCCTTCAGTGGAGTGTTTAGGATAAGTCAGTGTCCATTCTTTTGATGGTAGAACATCTTTGAAACTCCTGCAGTGTGGCATGGTTTCCCACACTCTTGACTCTGATAGATGGGGAAATCTTTTCAATTGGGTAAATTTAAAAAGAGAGTAATTTGTTGCTAATTTTATTATTAGTGAAACTGAACATTTTTTTGTGTATTAATGTTATGTAGTTTGTTTTTCTTTCTGATTTGTAGGCTTTTAAAATAAACTGTTGTTCTGTTATGTCAAAATAAAAATATTTTAAGTAACAAATTCAAACTACAAAATTATTATGTAATACCTTAAGTTAGGAGGAGTTTCTTCTACAAGTAAATCAGTTTAAAGAGTTGAATCCTCAATTCCATCATTGCCTCATTTCCTAGGAGGGTAAATCTGTGTTAGTAGCTCCAGATTTCTGCTCCTGTGTGGAGTTCATATAGAAGGATGTATTTCAAAGTTTTTTATTCCTTATGTATTAATATTTATTCTCTTTTTCCTGACTAGTCTGTTCTTGGAACATATTTAAACAATGTTTAAATCTCAAACTATTAGTTTATTACTTGCTATTATGTCTGACTAGTAGTTTCTTTTGGTTTCTCTTTACACTTTTTATTTTTCCTAATATGAAGAGGATAGAGAATGTTGACTAGGAAATATTTTATTTGTAGTAAAATTGCACATGAATTTTGTGTGTATTCTGATTTTCTAAGGTAGCTTTTTAAAAAACCAGTGTGTCGCATGCTATTTCCTTTACTTTTTCAATGAGTACCAAATTTCTAAGTGACCTCTTAACTAAAATATTTTGTTATAGTAACTCAACTAGTCTGATGTAGTCTCACTGTTGTGTTTGCCTTTTTATGCTTTTGGTTGGGGGTGCATTCTTGAAATAATATATGTAAGTATGTCTTGGAGTCACTGTATTATGAAGTTCCTCATTGTCGTTCTGAACTGCCCAGTGAAATTTTTTTTTTTTTTTAATTTTTCTGTTTTGTTCTAATACTAATACACAGGCGCTCTGCTGTTGCCCGCATTCAGGAGTTCTTCAGGCGGAGAAAAGAAAGGAAAGAAATGGAAGAACTGGATACTTTGAACATTAGAAGGCCTCTAGTAAAGATGGTTTACAAGGGTCATCGCAACTCCAGGACAATGGTACCAAATGCTCCTGGCGTTCTTGGGTGAAATAGCAGTTTCATTATATAAACGTTTTCCCCAAAATGACTGGTCTTCCTACATGGCCAGCATGGTTTCAGTATAACACTGAACCTTCAGTTACCTTTTTATTCAAACATGGTTCTTTTAATCCTCTGACATATTATGGAAGAGCATTATTTTTATAAGAAAATTCTACCCTTCTGAATAAATATTTATTGATCTTTCTTATAACATACACAGGTTGCTATGGCTTTACTTTCTTTTTTGCTCTTTCGTACTTGATGTCTACCAGGAAACCTGCTATAGTTTTTTTTTTTTTTTTTTAAAGCATATATTAGCACCTTTGTTAGATTTGGAAAGAAGAACTTAGATTTGTGACATCCAGGTTGATTACAGAATAGAAACAAACTACTTTAATTATGACATTTAGTAATAGAGCCTTTCAGGATTTTGAATAAAACTATTACTTGGAACCATCATGTATTATGACAGAATCTGTCTTAACCTGCTTTCTTTAGGATGTAGGTAGAAATTAACTTTGAGGTGAGAAAATAATAAGCTGGTTGTCTCTGTGGATATCATCAATACTAACAGTTGAATCACTTTTTTAAAGGATTCTCCTTAATAGCAGTAACCAGCTTATGTTTTGTTCACTTTTCTGGTAAAAATTTTAGATGAAAATAATTAGGGAAAGGGATTTTAAAAAGAAGACAAGTATTAAATGCAGCAGTAGCTCCAAGTGCCATCAAAGCTGGCCCCCCTCTTCTGAGTAAGCACCAAACATGGCATAGTAGCAGCTGCAGAAAAGATGTTTTTTTAAAATCCTGATCTGAAGTTCAAAGGTTTTTGTGATGAGTCATTCATGTGTCTATCAAAAGATGTCGTTGTATTCCTTCTTGTGTTTGTTTATATTCATTCTAGTATCTCATATTGCTTTTTCTTATTGCTTCATTAATGTACTTAGGTTTATATTTTCCAAGATCTTGAATTGTATAAGCTTCTGATTGCTAATGAAAAAGAATGGTATTTTTGTTCCTTTAGTTAAATATAATTTCCTTTTTTTTTTCTTTCTCTTTTTTTTTTTTTTGTTACCAGGGAATTTTAAATCCAGGGGTGTGTAACCACTGAGCCACATTCCCAGCCCTTTTTTGTATTTTATTTCGAAACAGGGTCTCTCAGTATGTTGCTTAGGGCCTCTCTAAATTGCTGAGGCTGGCTTTGAACTCATGATCATACTATCTTTAACCCCTGAGCCACTGGGATTACAGGCATGCACTACTGCACCTGCTGACAATTTCTTTTTTCTTTGAATCATTTAATTGTTTTATAAAGCGAAAAATGGAACAATTTTGAGAGTTCGACACACATAAATAAATTTCTATTATACTGCCAAAACCCAGAAATCCCATTCATTCATTTAGCAGTCATTAGAAAAGTATCTGCTCCATGCCAAATAGTGTTTCGGGTGCTATAAAAATAGTATCCAACAAAGCCAAGTCTGTTGTCAGGGGCACCTTGCAGACCTTGCCTCTGTCTTATCCCTGCTAATGACTTAATGCTGGAAGACCAAGGCATTCTTCGGGTTTTTAACTTTTTTGTTTTTCCAAGCTAATTTCTTTCTTTCTTTCTTTTTTTAACATAAGAATAGAATAGATCTTGTTTTGGTATCTTTAATTTGAATTTTATTATAATTCACTTTTTTTAAACCCTTAGATAAAAGAAGCCAACTTCTGGGGTGCTAACTTTGTGATGAGTGGCTCCGACTGTGGCCACATCTTCATCTGGGATCGGCATACAGCCGAGCACTTGATGCTTCTGGAAGCGGATAACCATGTGGTGAACTGCTTGCAGCCACATCCGTTTGACCCCAGTAAGGCGCCATTCCTCAGCACTGTGCTCTCCTGGTTTTGTACAATGCGAGCATCCCCCAGAGTGTCCTGCTGAGTGCCTCTGGAGCTGAGTGTGCTATGCTTGCGTTTCGAACAGTCTGCCGCAGCAGAATGGCTAAGCAAACAGGTTAAGAGTGTCTTTAGTAGCTCTCCTACATTTGATCTCATCAGTCATAGATGTCTGGAAGGACTAAACTTGGCATTATCCAAAGAACCTAGAAGTCTATTTAATCTTCACATATCTGAATTAATTTACCAGAGCAAAAGAGCATTGGCTTACTCTTATGCTTGACCTTATCATGTGTCTTGCAATACAGCAGCGAATAAGCAGAAATTTAAGGGACTTCAAAATGGTCTTAAAGTTTTATTCAAGGGTTACTTTTCAGAGATCTTCAAAATATATTATCTTATATTCTTAATTAACAGGCAAAGGAACAGGTATGGTATCCCTTCAAGCTGGATTTTGCTGTTTATATATATGCTTCATATGTTCATGTCTTGAATTAATGGCATATTTCTAAGCTTTATACTAATATGTACATTTTATTTCTAGTTCTAGCCTCATCTGGCATAGATTATGACATAAAAATCTGGTCACCACTAGAAGAGTCAAGGATTTTTAACCGAAAACTTGCTGATGAAGTAAGATTTTTATTATACTTATGATAGGCCATATTTAATTGGTTCCTAGCATGCTATTCTAAGGAAAAAGCAGTTTATTAGTAACATAAAACAAGTTAATGCAGTTAATGAGGTAAACTCTTATAAAGAAAAATTAAGATAAAACATGCTTATAAGACTAGAGAGTTAAAACCAAAATGGTGTCTTGTAATTATATTATTGAAATTTAGTACTATCAGATTAGGTATGTCGTGGTTTAAGACAAATAGATTTGGCTGGTGTGCTAATTATGATAAAAATCATTAAGAAATTCTGTCCTTTTAAAAATAATTGTGCACTATAAGCTACCCTCCCTAATCATAGACATTTTCTGTTTTTCTTAAAAAGGAAATGGTCGGGGCTGGGGATGTGGCTCAAGCGGTAGCGCGCTCGCCTGGGATGCGTGCGGCCCGGGTTTGATCCTCAGCACCACATACAAACAAAGATGTTGTGTCACCGAAAAAAAAAAAACTAAAAAAAAAAAAGGAAATGGTCTCCTCTGGAATCAGTTGATAACAGAACAAATGATTAGAGAATCTTTTCCTTAATTACTGTATTTTAAATTTTCCTTAGCTTCTTGTTGAAGCAGAAATTTCCAAACTAAGTTCTGTAAAGCTCTCAGTTTCTTTTGGAATTGGGAGAAAAAGCAGGTGATAGGAAGACTGAACTCCTCCCGAACTTTAATGAGGGTTTTTATTTGTGGGTTTTTGTATGAGATTTCTTAGGAAAATGAGGGTCTGTTCTTAAAAGTGTAAGTTGGAAAGCACTACTTTACCAAGATGGACGGTTCACAGCACAAGCTACCGCCTATGCTGATATTCATTGTATAGAGATTTATAAACTACATGGTATTTGTCAGTCATAGTGCTGACTTTAAAAAGATAAAACTTAAAGTCTAGTTGGAAAGGCATATAAACAAATAACTAGATTATAATGGGATCAGTATCGGAGACGTATACATTTTGTTTTGAAGCTGGAACACTGTGCTGGTAAATATGGTAGATGGGAAGGGGAGGTCTCCCCCAGAGATGTTGGGAACTAGACGAGGAGCAGAGGAGCTTTGAGCACAAGGCTTCGCACATGCCAAGAGACTGTAAGGTAGATGGACCGTCAGTGTGCATGAACCTCAGAGTATGTAGACAAAGCATCTCAGTTGGATGGAAATGGTAGGCAGGACAGGTCTGTACAGGGCCCACGGGCAACCCTGATGAACGTGGGACGGTTGTTACATCATAGGGGAACTTTTGAGATTACATCTTCTCTGACACTTTCTTTCTTCCTTTTCTTTTCCTACCACATACTCTACTATTCCTCTTCTTCCCTTTGCTCATGATTACACATTCGGTCCGTAGCTATTCATGAATATTATGCATTTGGGTACTATTCTTGCTACTCAGTTTATTGCCAAAGCTTGCCCAAAAGTTTCTTTTTTACTTTGTCTCAGAATAGCATCTTCTCAAGGGATACACGTACATGACTAGGGATAACAGTTTAACACGTTGTGTTGAATGAGAAATCAGCACAAAGACTGATCTGGACACGAGCCAGCACTGAAGAGCTCATTTGAACTCTGAACATTCTAAGCAGTCACAACATTTCCTCTTAGTCTTTCTGCCAGTTAAAAGAGTGTTCTCTGATCTTCCTCCTTTAAATACAAGGTGAACTAATTATTTGCTGTTGAGTAGCTGAAAGGCAAATGAAATCATTCCTGCTGGGATCTACTAATTTCTTAGAATTTCCTTCATCTTCTGGGAGCAGATAGCCACTCTGTCAACGTGGTTGCTTACCTTGCCTGTAGGTCATAACCCGCAACGAGCTGATGCTGGAAGAAACCAGAAACACCATCACCGTCCCAGCCTCTTTCATGCTGAGGATGTTAGCCTCTCTGAATCACATCCGAGCTGGTAAGAGTTTACTATTCTATTAATATTGTTATATTTGTACAACATCTTATTAAAAGTTCTACTTCAAAGGGATTTATATAATTTCCTTAATATCACAAAATGAAAGCAACTTAACTAGGATTTCTGTGAACACTTGACCTTTTAGCAGTGATTTATATTGAAAAATGGTCAAAATGAAACTTTTTTTTTTTTTTAACAGGGAGAGAGAGAGAGGGAATTTTAATATT